CCAGCTGTCCTGCTCCGTCCAGTAAACAGTTTCCCTGCAGTCATTCACAGATTCTGGATTTTAATGCCCTTTCTGCCCCCTTGTTCACAACGATCCCTGGGCCTCCGGAGGGGGCGCTGCTGTAGAGACATTGGCATTGAAGGATGAGAATTCTACCCTCCCGTGTGTATTTCTTCACCTTGGCCAGCTGTCTACCTCTTCACTGTCATCTACTGCAAAAGGAAGCTTCACCCATGAGAGTTGAGAGATGTCCTAATCTATGGGTATAACAAGTCACTGGAAGTCAGTATTTATACTATGTCCACTTAGCAAAATAGTAGATTCCCTCCTAGGTCCCATGACCTGTCTAGCCGGTGGTTCTTGGCTCAGGTATCAATGCCAGTGTTGACTTTCATGTTGTAGAGCAGGCTTCTGATCTTATCAGAAAGTAATTGGTTACTCGAACGACATTTGTGCCACCATTAAACAAGTGGACATGTCTTTCCAGACCTGTCATATCCTACTTCTAAGAGTTCAGATGTGAGTAAGATTAAAAATACTTTGTGTTGTATTCTAAATTATGAAAAATAAAAAAAAATGGAAGCACTAACGATGATCTACCTATAGAGACTTAAATTATTTGAGGGGAGTTGTTCTTAGCAGCTCTAAAGGTGCATCTGTGCTTCATAAATCCTAAGTCCCAAAAGCTTGTAATGCGTTCTGTGTGATGCTGAAAACATTAGTGAGCTTTTAGAAGTTACATTATACCGAGTAAATAGTTCCCCTAACACTCTAGAGGAGTGTGACCTTCACTGTGCATGTCACACCTGATAGTACTTAGTACCAAACATACTTCAAAAAGCCTCCATACAGGTTCTACCACGGGATATGTGACAAGTGTTGAGTACTGCTGTACCCTGCCATATCTGCCTCAAGACTGACTCACATTCTTGTCACCAGAGCTGCTGGAGTTGAGCCTAGATGCCAAGCTTTATTCTCGGCCATTCTTCATGTTCAAGTAAACACAAAATGGTCACATAAAAGCCAATGCCCTGGCTATTGACAGTGACCTTTCAGAGGAAGCTATTTTTTAATATAGGTCACATAAAACATAAATCTCCAAGCTCATTCTTTTTTCTCTTAAAATTACAGAATTAAATTTTATAGAGAACAGTCAGAAGGAATGTGTAAAGGAACCATTCCTTCATAATTTGGTTTTCTTAGTAATTTAAAAAGATGTGTCTCGGCTAGGCTTCTGCACATTTCTTCTATCTTGCTATTTAAATAAGTGACTTGCTATTTAAATAGATGAGCAGGAATTAAAATACAGCTACTGCCATATGTATAATTAGCCAAGGAAAAAAGCTGACGATCAACTGCTGTGGATATCAGCAGTCCTAGACTGCAAAGGGCAAGCAAGTACCACTTTGTGCCAGCCTTATTTATAACTGATGTGACCGACGCAGGCACGAATTGGTGCAGGAGAAAGACATGGACGAACTCGTCTAGAACAGCAGCTGTCACTCTTCCTCCTGGATGAGGCCTTTGCTTTGAGAGGGGCTGAAGAGTTCAGTTTTACCATTGCTCTGTGATGACGTCTTCCTAACTCCTCTCACATCAGCATAAACAGCAATAGCGTCTCCCTTGTTGCTTATAGACAATAATCGCCCGCTTTACAAATTGCCGAGAGTGAAGATCACAGCCATTAACATTTGTTGAGCAGGCCCTAGGTACAACGGGCAGTACCAGGAAAAAAAAAAAAAAAGAAAGAGAAATGAATGACAAAATGAAGGGCAGGTTTGCCAGCACACAAACAAACGGTCTACCTTCCTGATTTGTTGTTTTCTGTCTTGTTTTCATAGTGACTGAAACAGCACCTTCCAAAGATTCCTTGTACAACCAGAAACAACTGTCAGAAGAGGATGACGTTGCAGGCTTTATAACCCAAACCTTAGAGATGTTTCAGGTCGGAACACTGCTGTCATTTAGTAACAGCTACCTGTGGGACCGAAGCGTGAGGGAGCCTTGCTCACTGACAACTGTGGATTGCAGAAATCTGAGCCAACTCTTGAGGCCTGGCCTGCATGTCCCAAGGAAGCTGTGTCTTCCTTGTTAAGAGAGAGAGAGAGAGAGAACATGCATCTTCTTTAGATCTAGCAGAAATGATAACTTTATAGGTTAGACAAATATTCTCTGCTTTACAAAGGAAAGAGAACCAAAGAAATTACTTGGCTAGAATTACATATGTATGTATGTACATATGTGTGTGGTACACACACACACACAATACATATGTTGCCAAAAATGGCACTTTGAACCATGTTTTCTTATGACTAAGGATGGTTAATGATATAAAATTTTAGATACAACAAGGAAGCATTTCATAACAGAGGAAAAGATATGGACCGTTTAATAAACACTCTCAAAATAACGCCAAATCGTCTAAAATTTGCTAAGTCTCTTCCTCTGTCAAATCCAGGATAGACCATTATTTAAATTAAAAAAAAATAACCACTGAAAGGATTAGAAGAAAATGTCGATGGTGACTTCTAAACCTGGTGCGGTGATGGGAGAAGAGAGTGGTACGCTTGACTGAATGGTAGGAAAATTGTCTGAACCAGATTGCTGGTCGCAGGATTAATTAACAGCACGCCTGGAAACATTCGCCAACTCTATTATAAAGAATTTTATAGTTAACATATGAACATTGTCAACTAAACTTTAACATTCTAAAAGACCAAGAAAAAATATATTGAATAACAAATTCAAACGTTCACAAAAAGAGCCAATGAACATGAAAATGTGGAGCGTCAGGCTGGACTCTTTTAAGCCTTGTATAAGCTTTAGCCCTTATAGAACTCTCATGAGGATGGGGGTTTAGATTCCTAGGACTCGAGAGGTGAGGCTCCCCTCAGTACTCAAGAGATGGGGACTTCCCAAAGCAAGCTGGCTACTTAAACTAGCCTAATGGGCAAGCTCTGGGTTCAAGTGACCCTGCTTCAGTATATAAGGTAGTAAGTTGTTCACCCTGCGAGAGGCGGTGGGACCTGGGAGAATGGAGCCAATAAATGAGGAGGACTAAGTCTCATGCAATGGTCAATTTTATTCAGGGCATCCAACAATTTTTACTCTGAGGGTGGAGAAAGGTCAGCTGAGTAAAGTTATCATGCGTTCAAGCTGTATGTAATCCCAAGGACAAGAGGCACGTGGCAAAATACGTTTTTCCAAAGAGGCATGTAAGCAAATAACAATAGCCAGTTGTCATGAATAATCCGAAATAAACTCACTCCTATCTGCTGCACCTGGAAGAAGTGTGAACCACATTCCAAGAACAAGTCTGTGTTTTGAAGAAACTGAGGTCACAACACTTTTGTTTTTTCACAAGCACTCAGAATTCTCCTAATACCACCCATTCTTGGACTTTGTCCTGACAGTGAATGATTGACAAAGATATCCAATATTAGCCTTGAGCATGCACACACACACATTTACACACATACACTTGTGTGCACAGCCCCATACACATGTGCCCACAAACATACATATACACATGCATGCATACTGTCTTAGTTAGGGTTTTTACTGCTGTGAAGAGACTCCTTGACCAAAGCAACTCTTATAAAGCAAAAACATTTAACTGGGGTGGCTTACATTTTCAGAGGTTCAGTCCATTATCATCATGGCGGGAAGCATGGTGGTGTGCAGGCAGACATGGTGCTGGAGAAGTAGCTGAGAGTCCTACATTTTGCAGGAACAGGAAATCATTTGAGACACCGCATGAAATCCTGAATGTAGGAAACCTCAAAGCCCACCCCCACAGTGACAGACTTCCTCCAACAAGCCACACCCACTCCAACAAAGCCACACCTCCTAATAGTGCCACTCCCGATGAGATTATGTAGACCAATGACATTCAAACTACCTCACCTACCATGCCACACCCATACACAGGCCAACAAGAAAAAAGAAATGGCCATGACATCATAAGGCTTAAGCAATTAGGTTTCACAATATATACAACACAATAATATGTTAAAACCCAGGCTCAGTTAGAGAGGGTTCAGTGCTTAGGAGCACTGTCTGCCCTTCTAGAAATCTGGGGTTCCTAGCATCTACGTGGTGGCTCATAAACATTTGTAACTTCAGTTCCGGGGGATCCAATGCCCTCTTCTAGCCTCCAAAGATATCAGGCACATACCTGGTGTACATACATATACGCAGGCCAAGCATCTATGCACACTAAATAAACAAACAACAACAACAACACATTAAAAATCAAACAGGCTCAGCTGGGTGGTGGTGGCGGCGGCGGCGCACGCCTTTAATCCCAGCAATGGGGAGGCAGAGGCAGGAGGATCTCTGTGGATTAAAGGCCAGCCTGGTCTACAGAGTGAGATCCAGGACAGGCTCCAAAGCTACACAGAGAAACCCTGTCTCCAAACAAACAAACAAACAAACAAACAAACAAACAGGCTCAACTACAAGCTAATTTTTTTACACCTAGAATAAATTTCTAGTTTAACATTGTAGATCATGAAAAAGACTTCCTAGGGTCATTATGTAGACCACATGGTGTAATTTCTTTTCACTGTGCTGAAAACTGTTCGGCATAACCACCAAAGAATTTTAGGTTAAATTAAACTAACAATGAATCCCTTCATAGTTCAAGTTATCAAAAACGTATAGACAATTCAATACATCTAATCAAACAAGGAATTGGTCTGTCATACACATATGGACAGCTCAAATTGGACTTAGTGGGTTGTGGTTTTTTTTTGGTTTTTTTTTTTTTTTTTTTTTTTTTAAGGCCATGGTTCAGAGGTTAAGAGCACTTGTTGCTTTTGCAGAGGACCCGGGTTCAATACCCAGCACCCTCAGAGAGGCTCACAACTGGTTGTGACTACTCCAGTTCCAGGGGATCTGCAGCCCTCTTCTGACCTCCTTCAGTGCCAGGCATGCATATAATTACACCGAAGGGATTTTATCCTTCTCACAAATAACCAGTGTGCATTTGGGGCATACTGACATATAAAACTAAAGAGAATTAAGAGCGAATCAGACGAAGTAACTGCACTTCATTTTTTAAAAGGTCACGTGGGACGTACTCAGATTTTGGGTTTTCATCATAACACAGCAGCACAGCTCTGCTTTGCCATGCGTTCGTCCTCCACGCGTCTTTTGAGGACGCCTCTTAGATGGCGCTTGGGCGTAGAATTCGACTGTCTGCTACGTTCTCAAGAGTTATGCTAAAAGCTCCCGAGAGCACGTGCAGAATCGTGGGGGCTGCCTGTGGAGGGTTTAAGAAAAGGCACGGAAACTGCAATTCGCCCTCCACTCTCCACGCCAGGAAAACTGGCTTGATTCCACTGGCTTTCTCTAAACAGAAGAGGGGTCTGGGGGAAGAACTCGGATCCTGAGCACTTCCACGCTCAGCCATTGATAGTGGAAAATGTAAGTCACCGAGTGCAAGGCCCGCAGTGGTCCGCACGGAGTGTGTGTGTGTGTGTGTGTGGTGTGTGTGTGTGTGGGGGGGTGCCGCGTCTCTTTTAATTACTCCCAAGGAACTGAGCGCATGTCTAGCCACGGTCTTTTCTTTTACAATTTTCCAAATAATGAGTCCTCTAATTGCTTTTGCTGGAACCCTTGGCCACCAGTATTTTCCCTTTCTTCTCCCCTGCGTTCCGCCCACACATCTCAACTTCCCCCATTAAATTTTTTTTTTGTCTGAATTTGATGAAGGTTTGGGTTTTTTTTTTTTTTTTTTTTAACTCCTTCGGAGTTTAAGTGGTTGAATTAAACCACAACTTGCTTTCGTCAACCATCCAGGGAGTGCTTTAGGCATGGGGGGGGGGAACATTTTATTTTCAGCCCAGCCATCCACCTGTGCTGACACGGCGAGGAATTTACAGCTACATGGAAAGCGCTATAACCCGAACCTCAGAAACGCCGTGTTCTCCTGAGCTGCGTTATTAGGGAATGTTTGTCAGATGGCCAATTGTGTCAGCCCCTAATTGATTTATATTAGCATCTGTAGAACGAGGGTGGCGGAGGGGAGGGGAGCCTGGGCCCAGGTCTGACCCCTGAGTTTCCTGGGGACAGTGCAGGTTTTCATAGACACTAGTCCCTCCCTCCCTCCCCCCCTCCCTCCCTCCCTCCCTCCCCCCTCCCCCCTCCCTCCCTCCCTCCCTCCCTCCCTCCCCCCTCCCTCCCTCCCCCTCTCCCTCTCTCCCTCCCCCTCTCCCTCCCCTCCCTCCCTCCCTCCCTCCCTCCCTCCCTCCCTCCTTCTCTCCCTCCCTCCCTCCTTCCCTTCCTTTCTTCCATCCTTTTCCTTCCTTCTTTACTTTTTCTTTATTTTCTCTCTGTTTTACTCTTATATAACATGTTTAAAATTACATGCATGCTTACAAAACCAGCATAAACTTCTATTGTTTTCTTAAAAGTGAGCTCACCCTCTCCTTGCCATTATTGCTAAATTCTAAAGAACACCTGGCTCTAAAGGAGGGCTTCATTTTCCCTGGGGTGGGGTACTGGGTAATGAAACCAAGAAACCCCTTCAACCTTTCTGTTTTGACAGCTTTCTTTCTTTTTTTTTTTTTTTTTATGATCGTTGGCTTTAATAGCTTGTTTTTCTACGTAGACCCCACTCCTGCTGGATTAGAAGTATATATAAATCTATATTACTTATTCAGGAACACCTGGCCTGAGGTGAGGTCCAAGTCGAGGGACCTGGCTCTAAAGGAGGGCTTCATTTTCCCTGGGGTGGGGTACTGGGTAATGAAACCAAGAAACCCCTTCAACCTTTCTGTTTTGACAGCAAAGGTGTGGGGTACACAAGACCTCCATTCACCACAGTTTGGAGCTTTGGCACAAGTTTAATATGTAGGCATTCCCAAACTGGTAGTAGACTGTCCAGAGTGTGTTGGCAATGTGGCTGTACCTGCTGGCATCACGGTTGTGGATCCGGCCTCTGTTGACACATAGGTGTGTGGTGATTTCCAAACAACCATCTCGCTGCTTCCGTGGGTGGTGCTGGGTCTGATTGATGGTAGATCTGTATGGGGCTAGAGTGGGTGTGAGAAAAGTGGAGGAAGAAAGGAAACACATGGGTTTGCATAAGCCTCTGTCTAGGAGGCAACCCCCACCAGGAATGGTGGTATGCCATTGGCCACAGAGTAGCCACTGTGCTTTAATTGGTGGTCACTGTGTACCTGGCTGCTATGGGTCACTGTGTGCTGGGATCACGGTTCATAAAATGGACTTGGCTATAGCGTAACTTCTGTTCGAAACATAGTGGTATTTGGGAACAATCTTTGGAGTTTGGGGGCTCTCAAGGAAGTCAGAGAAAGGATTTCAGAAGTGAAACTAAGATTATATGGCCAGTATCAACTGTGTTATAAAATTATGTTAATGTGCATGCACTATCTTAGATCTTAAACATCATCTAAGGGACCATGTGTTGAGGGTTTAGTCCCCAGCCTGCGGTACAACCAAGAGATAGTGAATCTTCAAGAGAAGCTTTAGCGGGTAGAAGTGACATCATTGGAGTCTACCCTTGAAGACTGGGGCTCTAAACCCTCCCCTCTCTTTGTTCCTAGCCATCCTGAGATGAGCAGCATTCATTCACCTGGTTCTGACTATCATGAAGTACTACTCAGCTCCTCCCTGCCCCCCTCCCCCGCCCTCGCCCCCCAGACAAAGTCAGGATTGAAAACTTTGTGGCTGAGAACCAAAACAAAGCTTTCTTCTTTTTAACTAGAGCTTTGATTTTTTTTTAATTTTCAGGTATGTTATCATGGCGATAGAAGTCTGATTAACACAGCATAGCAAAATAATGTGTGCCCCAGAATGTTAAAAATGGGCATTTTGGAAATTTATATACACAGAAGACAACCGAAGAATACACACTTCAACTTGTCAGTAGGTGATTTTTCCCGGAGTACACCTTTATACTTTGTCTTTTAGTGTTGTACTATATCATTTAAAGGTTTTGTAATGGTTTTTTTTTGTTTTGTTTTGTTTTTCGAGACAGGGTTTCTCTGTGTAGCTTTGCGCCTTTCCTGGGACTCACTTGGTAGCCCAGGCTGGCCTCGAACTCACAGAGATCCGCCTGGCTCTGCCTCCCAAGTGCTGGGATTAAAGGCGTGCGCCACCACCGCCCGGCTTTTGTAATGGTTTTAAGGATGTCAATCCCTCTGTTGTTCAAGACCCACATCCATATAACTCTTCAATGAGTCAGGTCTCATTTATCCTAAGATGGCCTTGAACTTGCTCTTATAGACAAGGGTGAACCTTGACTTCTCAAATCCTGGGTTTACAAACATGCATCACCACACCTGAGTTTATGCCACATTGGGATTGAACCCAAAGCTTCATGCATTCTAGACAAGCACTAACTGAGCTACATCTTGGCTCTTTACTGGAACATGTTGCCAGGTGGCTTACTTCTGGCTTCTGGACACTGTCATTCACAAGGACTACCGTGAAATAGTGATAGAGTGGGCAGGAATCTACTTCTTATTTATTTTTATCTCTCTAAAAGTATAGTTCTCCTGGACTGGTGAGCTGGCTCATTGGATAAAAAAACTTCCCACCTAGCCTGATGACCTGCATTCCACCCCTGGGATCACAGCTCTTCAGCAATCCTCCAGGCCTTCGGTGTCATATTGGGGCTGCTGAGTCCTCCTGTGGACTGAGGAACTCTTGGATTCTCAGCCTCTTCAGTATGAGACAGCCATGATTGGATTACTAAGACCATGTATAATCCAACCTGACAAATCATATATATGTATGAATGAATGAATATTTGTGTATTCATGTGTGTGTTTTCATTCATTCTATCAATCCTGTTCTTTAAGAGAACACTGAATAAAATAACATCTCTCAATCTAACTTGACAATTTAGACAAACCACTCTTCTCGGCAACCTTCTGCCCCTCCCCCCAACACCAGTTCCAATGGTTACTAGTCCTCTACTAGATTTTTTTCTCACTAACATTAAGACATGCTGGGTATTTGCTTTTCATCTTACAAAACAAACTCCTCTTGTGGCTTTTTGTCCTGTGGTGGCTTCCTTATTTCTCTTGTCATTTAATCAGATGCCTTCAGAAGGTTGTTTCGGAGTTTCTGCATCTAATGTCTTTCCTCTCATTCTCCCTGGAGTCCATACTCATCAAGCTTTGCACCATGACTCCAGCCCAGTTACTCTCACAGCCATTTACGAATTTCACATGACTAACCAACTTACAGATTCTCAGGCTCCAGCTTTCTTGACCTCTTAGCAGATTACACATGGTCAGGAGTCATTCTGTGCTCCTTGATACATTTTTCACTTGGTTTCCAAGGATACCGTCTGTGCTTCTCCTCCCGCCGACCAGCTCCTTCTCAATCAGCTTAGACGGACTCTTCATCTGTCACGTGCTTTTTGTTGGCGAGCCCCAGAGCCTGTCTTGAACGTCTTTTTGTTTCTCTCTTTACTTACTCCCTTAGTGAATAAGTTGATTCAAAGTCTTTCAATAACATCTCTACGTTGATGACTCCTGAGCTCATAAATTCATCCTGGATTCATATACTGCCAACCTGACATTTGAATATTTCTCAGAATTCCTGAATCTGCCCAAAACTGAGCTGACATTCTCTACAATAAACCTCACTGTCCTACAATGCCCCCCACCTGGGATTAGACATCTGAGATTCATCCCATCTTTCTCAGCAACCCCTTACTTCCAACCTTGTCCATTTTAATCTGTTATCAACATAGACATAGAGTTAACATGTAGTTAAACACATATTAATATGCACAAGGCTCAACTCATCTCCCAGTATTGAATAAATGCCTATTAACACGTCTTCCCTTTGATGAAAACCCTTCAGGTATAGGCATGTCTCGTAGAGGAAAGACCAGTGTACTTTCCCTTAAGGCCTTGTCATCCTATGTTTCTACAGCTCCATTCTGCCTCGGCCAGCCAGCTGCAGGTTCCTACAACATCGGTGCCCTTGAAGTTTGTCTTCAGTCTTGAGTGCTGTCCCCCGACACGAATACCTTCTCCAGGACACAGATAAAATGAGTGAATGTCCTCCAGTCATCTTACGTAAAATTTTATTCTCTACCTCTGATATTGTTAAAACCACTTTCCAGCTTTTTTTTTTTAAGTTTTATTTTTAACACTTGTCACTTTGCACCATGCTGAAGAGCGTTCATTAGGCTTATTAAATTTACTTCCCAATATGCTGAACGATGGGGTAAGTTTTATTTATTTGGCCATTAAACTTCCGTAGGTGGCACAATACTCCTAAAAAGTGCCCAGTGCACATTACATGAAGGTGAGGTCACTAAATACATTTTAAATCATGAGTTTTCTTTCACCCCACTGAAGTCTTTTCAGGATCATTCCACCTCATCTGTGTACCTCCTGCCCCTGGGTTCTCTTATTTACATCTCTATAGACATATAACTTCCCCAGCCTCAGACAGTGTACTTTCCCTTCTCAACCTTCCTGATGCTGTGACCCTTTAATACGGCTCCTCATGGTGTGGTGACCCCCAACCATAAAATTATTTTCATTGCTACTTCATAACTGTAATTTTGCTACTGTTATGAATCATAATGTAAATATCTGATATGCAGGATATATGCTATGCGACTCCTGTGAAAGGTCATTTGACAGCCCCCCCCAAGGTTGAGACCCACAGTTTGAGAACCACTGATCTAGTATTTTCCACGGCTTCATAAAGACCACTTTGCTCTTCTGAACTTTATGTTCTTTTTCTAACGGCCTACTGAAACTTCCACTTAGTATTCTAATAAATCCCTCATATTGTACAGAATAAAACCCATTGATTTCCTTCTTCAAACTTACCACCTTCTGTACCATGGTTTCATCGTACATCTGTATTATCACCCATCTAATTGCAGAGCCACGGCTCCAGTCTCTGCTCCAGCTTGTAGTCTCTCCCTGCTTCCATGGAGGAGGTCCTGCTTGGCCAGCATGACACTGTAATTTCTCACTTTCATTTGGAACCAAAAAAATACAAGTGGGTATGCATAGACATATGTGTGTGTGTGTGTGTGTGTGTGTGTGTGTGTGTGTGTGTGTGTGTGTGGTTTTTATGAGACGCTATCACACAGAAAACAATGAAATTGACCTGGCTGGTGAGACAGTCCTGAGTTCGATCCCAGGGCCCAACAGGGTGGAAATAAGGAAATGACTTCACAGTTGTCCTGTGACCTTCCTCCTGCGCTATGATACACACACCGATACGCACACACCTGAGAGAGAGACACATACACGCGCGCGCACGAGAGAGAGAGAGAGAGAGAGAGAGAGAGAGAGAGAGAGAGAGAGAGAGAGAGAGAACAGCAGGAGCAGAGGCTAAAGTCTGGTTTCGTTTCTGCAAAGCTTTAAGTCGTGAAACTGGCCCAGAGCTCGAGAGGGCCAGGATTTTCCCCACACGTTGCGGAGTGGGCATGGGTTCACTGCCACCGCATGAAACTGAGCCCTCGGCAGGGCTCTGGGGCTGTGGAAAGATTGGGAAGAGGAAGTGACCACTGGCCAGGTCTAAGGCATGTGCCAACCGTGCACAGTCAGTGCTGGAACAAGACAGACAGGACCCAAATCCAGCTGGCAGCCAGGTCTATGACTAAATGTGACCTGTGCTCAGGCAATCTTAAGGGGCTAGTATGAAAGCTGATTCTAATTCTTTTTTTTTTTTTAAATTTTCTGAGACAAGTTTTCTCTGAATAGCCCTGGCTGTCCTGGAACTTGCTCTGTAGACCAGGCTGGCCTGGATGGGAGGGCAACCTGACTGCTATGTCTGTCCCCCCACTGATTGCCAGGAGGATTGATTCGGCTGATCTGGCTGGCTAGGCAGGTGCTCCCTTCCTCCCTCACCACTCCATGTTGCGTCCCTCCCAAAGCTGTACACTTGGTCGAAGACGACGAACTTCCCGGAATAGAAGAAGACCAATCTTCGGTCACGAGTATAAGAGTAGCTGCCCTTCCCTGCTAGGACCTCCAAACACGCTCTACATCATTTTTATTTTATGTGTAAGGGAGCTTTGCCTTCGTGGATGTGCCAAGTACCCCTAAAAGTCAGAAGAAAGCATCAGAAGTGCTCTTAACCATGGAGCCACCTCTCCAGCTTCTGAAGGCTTCACAAGATGACTACTAAATCACTAAAAAAAATGATAAATGACATAAAAAGAGGGAAATGAAAACCTGCAAACGTGAATGCCCATGAGCAAAAGCAATGCTAGGACAGACCATCGACGGATATCTACCCTAGCACCTGGAAGGCTGAGGCAGGAGGATTACAAGTTGAGGCCAGCCTGGGTTTCCACCGAGACCCTCTTCTAAAATCTGGAAAAGAAAAATCAGCAAAACATGAGTCTAGCTAGAGGAAGCAGAGATTAATGAGGATCCGTGCAATTACATGCACGCCTGGAAGAGTGAGGACTATGAACAGTACTCAGTTTGAGAACGGAGTCCCGGTGATTTGGGTAAACTAGATTTGAATGTGCTCTTAGGCTGAAAAGGAACCCTGACTTTTAGAAACTTGATTGAGAAAACTTGAGAGTGGAAAATGAAGAAGTGAGGTTTGGAAAGGATGCATATGGCTGAATATGATCCTGGCAACCGTATTTATAGACAGAGGGCATTGGTGACCCTATCAGAATGCAGAATGAGCAACAGTTCTCAGACCCAGTGACAACTGAGTCCCCACCTCCACACCGGACAGTCATGTGGAGCCATTTACTTTTCTAATCATTGGACACATCTTTTTACCTCTGGCACACTGCCCATGAATGGAGTTTCCTGGTAAATGCCGGGTCATCACACTCAGATAAGAGGCTCTCAACCTGTGAGTCATTAGGCTTTGGGGTCGAACAACCCTTTCACCAAGGTCGCATATCAGACATTTACA